TTGCCCTTAGGAGAAGCAGTTTGACTTACCAGCCTTCATATGGTCAAGGTTTGAGAACCAGCCTCCCTAAGCCACTCAGCATGCCCAACTCCCAACCCTCTGTCCTCGACACAGTCCAGCCCCTTTCTCCAAATCTTCTACATTCTATAGAACAGCCCAGCAAGGGAATTGCATCTTCCCATAAGGGATGGTAATACTTTGGAAATCGCATGGTGACACCTGCCAACCTGGCATTTTCAACTATGCACAAGGCTGGAAGGAGAAGCAAGGTCCTCAGGGCCATGGCATCACATGGTTCTAGACCAGGGAGTCGCCTAAAAGCAGCCAATTGGGCAGATTCCTCTGAATCTTTCTCCTCCAGTTGGACTCTCTATTGAGGAAGTGGAGAGGCTCAACACACCTCGCCCTAGAAACCCAAGTATCTGCAGTGCAGACCATGGGAGGTCTTCTTCAGAGGAGGACTGCAGAAGGCCACTGTCTAGAACAAGGAATCCAGCCGATGGCATTCCAGCTCCAGAATCCTCTTCTGATAGTGACTCCCATGAATCTTTCACTTGCTCAGAATGGATATATGACGAGGAGAAGGCCATGGTATATACTTCCAGGATGCCAAATTATTCAAGTCAATGAATCTGGATGCAGATGATGAGATAATTACGGAGCAAGACTTAAGCTCGAAGGTACCACGGCGCAGGGGCCGAGGGAGGACCTGTGGCACCCAGGCAGCGGCACCGCAGGCGCTGCTGACAACACATGCCCATGAAGCTAGGCAGCAAGCAGGGACTTCACTGGGACAACTTTTGAACTGGGGGTCCTGGCTTTGGCCATTATGTAGATGTTTTTAAAGTTTGGCATCTCTTCCAGAAAAAGCAGCAGCAAATGAAGGAAGGGCAAAGCTGGGACAACTAAGCCAGCCCCAAAGATGGGGAGCAGAACAGTATGTGTGAAGTTTATGTACTGGCCTATAAAAATACAAAAAACAAATGCTCCAAACCATTGAAACTTGCCGATTAGGTTGGGTCACATTGAAAAACAGGCCAGTACGGACTAGTGGTGGAGGGAAAACTTTAAAATAATAACCACAATGCTGCTGAACAGACTCACAACAACTCTTAATTTAAACATGTGTGGTTGAATTTGTTTCCCTGCATGCATTGTGTTTTGTAACTAGTTATGTGGCATGCAGCATTTGGAAAATATTTTTCTTATTTACCCGGGTGTTTGATTTGTGGTTTTTTAAAAATTGATACCTTTACCATTGCAGAAAAGAACTTGTGCTTTCCAGTGGCGTATGTGTATTGGTTTTTCCATTGTATTATTATAATTATGTTTTGCATTGCAAGATTCTTGATGTTAAACCAATCCTTGTAAAGTGTAGAAAGGAACCCTCCTATCGTGGAATGAAAGATTAAGTATATTAACACTTTTCAGAATGATAGTTTCCGTATTTGATGTTGCTCAGAAATGTCTGAGTATTTGAGTAAGTTTTACATGACAGTGGGTACTAAAATTAAGTCATTTTGTTCAGCACTTTAATGCTTTCTTATAGAATTGTCTAAAACTCCTGGATCCTTGAGCAAGTGATTATGGTCTCCTGACTTTCATGAGGCTTCCATTAGGAACAGAATGATTGCATGTTGTCCCCAGAACACTGCCACCTTGCTATGCGAATGATGTTCTCAGCAGCACTTAGGACACTCTTAAACGTTATTTATTGAAAAAAATTTTCTATGCTTTTAATATTTTAAAGAATTGACCTAAGGAAAGCCTATGATTGGACTTATTTTCCAACCAGATAACATTTACTCTAAGTACCCAGTTTTTATAATTTATATGAAATGAGATTTCAACACTTACTTTCTGTCATTTTGTAGATCATTTTTTTAAATACTGTGTAAAAACTTTTTTTACACCTAAACTGTGTTTTTGATAGTGATATTTTCCTATGCTGAATAGTTTTCTTACTTTCAGGGAAGGTAAGAAAATACTTTTTTTATATTTGTTACTTATGTAACATTCATATTTTTCACATTTTGATATTTGTAACATACTGTATGCTTTCTACTTGTAAATGTCAACAATAGAATTAAAATATTTATTTAAAATATTTTGTATTCATAGTGTAATATTAATTTTTATCTTTCTATATTCTTTGTATGCCCAATTGAGAATAGTCTCTACTTGTCAATAGGGTATGGCTACTTGAACTGTATATGAGCAACATCATTTTCTTTTTAAAAAATGTGAATATGGATCATTGCCAGAACAGGTATTTCAAAGTCACTTTAGTGCATTCCTACATGTCAGAGTTCTTAGGTTTCCCTGGAGTATAATGAGTCTAGACTAGGTTGATCTTAGGGGACTGACTTTGTTATGAAACTGTTTTAAGCATTCTGGCAATAAATGTTTGGAAATTCCCAGTAGAATGTGTTCACTGAAGACCAGCTTTAGATCAGTCTTATAGCCGTAGAAGCAGCAATGAATTAAAGCTAATTATGGAAAAATGTCTGGGTCTGATTTTCTCCAAGGACCCAGCCCAAAATTCTCTAAGTCCAAGGGTGGGTAGAAAGAATGATAGGGAAAGCTCCACTCTGCATATGTGTCTTTAATTTATTGATTACTCTGCTGCATAATTCTAAAGAAACTGTACATGCTGTCTTAGCCAAGACAAACCTCTGTTTTCAGGAGTCATAGTTACATCTTAAATAACAGGATTTTTAAAAATTACCTCACAATCTCAGAACATATTTAATTAAATATCAGCCCCAAACCTAATATTCATTGAGAATACTCTCCTTTAATACTGACTGTACCATATTGAATAGGAATTTTAACAATATGTATATTAACACCCACACATTGAGGTATATGCCAGAATTATTTTGTTATTTAATAATGTTGACATTATTATTTTTTGGTTTCAGATTAGGAAGTATAATGTGAATTTAATCTAAATCATGATATTCCTTTAGGTTGAAACACTGAATGTAAGATAATGATTGGATCTTCTCTGTTTTTGTCACCTGTGATGAGCCAACATGTTTTAGTATTTCTCTATGAATTTTATAAGTTTATTCTCCAAATACGGAAACATGTTCATTGCTTTGTGTAACTCAAAACAAAATACAATTTAAAAAAAACTCTGAAGCATCTCAATGTCCTCAAGAATATAAACTCTATAATTTAGAACAGAGCTAAATGTAAGATGATAAACATGATTATAGCTAAGAGTAAAGGGGGAGGAACTTGGTGCCAAGCTTACTCTTATTCTCTAAGAATTCTTTGTGAGATAGAGAATTACTATTCCCTTGACTAATCAATCCCAGTTTAGGAACATGATAGGATTCTCATAGGACAATTTCTAGTCATTGGTTCTTCTTGGAAATCTGTTCTACTGAAGCAAGGCCAATATTTATATTAAAATAAATCAGAAATCTATGAAATGAAGGTCTCATTTTAAAATGGACAGTAATATTTAATTTATCGAAATATTGAAGTGACATATGGTGTACTATGAGGAGGAGGGATTATAGGCAAATTAACAGATTAGCAATCCCCACAAATGAATAGTGGTAGTTACTTGCACGTTCACACATAAAATTATGACCTGAGAATTTTAATCCATCCCCTGTCAAGTTTTATTGGATATCCTGGAATACAGTTGCTCTACTCTGTAGAGACCAGAGCAACTCCATTTTGGATGCTCATCTCCTATGTCGGCTTCTGATTAACCCCGGTTCTGGGAATGCCTATAATATTTCCAGTTTATCTATAATTCCTTGTGTAAGAGCTTGTACTAACTGTAAATCCTGACCTTAGGCAGATTCACATAGCAGTCTTGCATTTCCATGAGGGGTCAACTTCAATTGTCCTACACGTTTCTTTCCTATGATATATAATGCCCAGACTGGGGGTTAATGGTGCAGAGATCCGCCATTTTGTCTCTCCACTGCCTGAGGCACAAGCATGGCTTCTGTTCATAAATCCCCACTGAATGATTCTTTCTGAGCAACTGGATATGTCAGATTCTTTCTTCAACCTCTCAGATTTTGAGGGTAGGGTTGCATAGACTGACTCACTGTAGAACAGACTTCTTTAGGCTTTTCTGCATCTGTTTTGTGGGGAAAATATTACTTTCTTTCAGGTGCATATTGAAAATACCCTTGCAGTTATGCTGTCATAACTGCATGTGATCACCCATGTGGACAAGGTGTGGCAGCATGACACAGGACTACTTTGCTTACTGAGTTCTATTACTGAGTTCTAAGGAGCACATTATTGTTGCTTTCAATGTCATCTCTAGAATTTTCTAAATTAGTTGATATTATCAATAGCTTAAGATCAATTAAAATCACTTTAAGAAAATGGAAGCTGTTCTGCCAGTGGATAGCCTTTTTTTTTTTTCTTATCAAACTTGCTTTCACTTTACTCTAAAAAGAAAAAAAAAAAAAAAATGAAAAGAAAATGGAGCAGCAGAAGTTCCTGGAGTGCCACTCCCCATTGCATGTTGCTAACAAAATACTTACCAATGCCAAGGCTGATGAGAAATAGAACTGGCTTACACTATTGAAAGTCATGTCCTGTATAGATATGTTATTTATAAGTGAAATAGAATATATCGCCAAGTGACTATTACTTCCCGGCATTCCATCTCAGAACAAATCACTATTGTCAAGCAAATGCATTTTTATTTTACTAAAATTTAATATTATGGTAAAAGACAACTGTGAGAAGTGAAAATATTTTTTAAATTGTGGATAAATACAGCAATGCAATTATTCTTTTCCTATGCTATGTCATAGATGCCATTTTAAAGGACTAACATTTCAAAATGACTGAAATTACCTTCACTTAGGAAAATAAACCTAGAAATAAAATACACTTTACACATTATTAGGCCATTCAGTGTGAAGTAAAACTTTAAAGACTTTGATTAATCTAGTATATGTCCCTTAAAATATTTTAAATGAAATGCCATATTATTAATAATTTACATGTCTATTACTACTGAGCCAGCCAGTAGTTTTATGGCTTTTTCAGTCCAAGTGTTATATGTCAGTGTTACACATGAATTCTACATTTTTTTTTTTATTCTTAATGAGGGAAAAGAAAGTAGGATCTAATAAATTTGGGTGCATACAGTTTTGGTACCTACAAATGCATATCAAAGATTGAATCCTAAGAAAACCTATGCATCTCTGATAATCATTGCAAATAAATATATTCTGACCTAAAGGCCGTGAAGTAAAATAATCTTTTTTTTTTTTTTTTTTTTTTTTGAGACAGAGTCTTGCTGTGTAACCCATGTTGGAGTGCAGTGGCGCGATCTTGGCTCACTGCGAGCCCGCCTCCTGGGTTCACGCCATTTCCCTGTCTCAGCCTCCAAGTACCTGGGATTACAGGTGCCCACCACCACGCCCAGCTAATGTTTTTTGTAGTTTTAGTAGAGATGGGTTTTCACCTTGTTAGCCAGGATGGTCTTGATCTCCTGACCTCGTGATGCACCCACCTCGGCCTCCCAAAGTGCTGGGATTAATTACAGGCGTGAGCCACCGCCCCTGGCCATGAAATAGAATAATCTTTAACAGAGAAATATATTAAAATACAAAGAAATTTAGTGTCTTGGATTAAATTTGATCACAGACATAATTCATGCCCTTTACACGTCAAGTACTCCTCTAGGTCATGGAATAAGGTAGTGAAAAACAGGCATAACACTTGTATTAATGGAACTTACATTCTAGTAGAGGAGATAAATAAATATAGTACTAATTATGTAGTGTAGTATCTAGTGGAGGCAAGTGCTAGCAAGCCAACTAAAACAGGCTAAGGGTAAGAGGTTGACTTGAGAATGTGTATGCTAGTTTGAATCAGATAATCAGAAAGACCTTTCTGGGGAGGAAACATTTGAGCAGAGAGCTGAATGAGGCAGGTGAGTGAGCCCTGGACATATGTGTGACACTTTCTCAGGCAGAGAGAGTGACATGGAGAAGCTTAGATTTGAACAGTTCATGTTAGAGAAACAGCAAGAGAATCAATTAGGCTACATAGTTGTCAACATATTAGCAAAGACTGCCCCACAAAAAGCTTAAGGATAAATGTATGTAAAGAATATTTCAAAACTGGCCTAGAAACAGAATTACTGTTGAAGTAACTCTCCCAATGCAAAGTAAATCCTAAGAAGGTGGACATGCATTCATTTTGCCCTGATGGTTAAGATCCATGTATAATCAAGGCAACTAAGGGTTGCCCATATAGCTGTTAATGAGGTTATTTTGTTGTTGCTGTTTATCATGAGTATAGTTACCTAAATCTTTGCATCACTAATGCACTTTTCAAAGTATGCTAGAATTTCAGTAAGTATCCAAGTGAAGTGTACTGAAATAGAATTAATATATAAATACATATTTTTGGCATTGACCATGAAAAGGCTTGGGGAAGTCTTTTTATTCACTGTATAATGTGTATATGTTTAACCCATAGTTGTGTCATGATTCACACAATTCTGAAAATGTGTAATTGACATCTATATATAATATAAAGACTTCATATTTATGAAAGGTATATGTTGAATTAATGACAGATTCATCAAATCCTCATATAGTGTATGATATATTCAAAATAGACATATTTGTGAGAGACTCTCCATATCTGTTGAAATGGATAGACCCACAGAACGTTTTAAAACACACTGCCTAAAGGCAGATGATTTTCAGGTGGTCTATTTGAATACTTCTAACTTTATTAGTTTATGAATCAGTTTGCCAAACTCCCAAATCAGGTTGCAAAATACAAAATACAGTCATCATGGTATTCTGGCAAAAAGTTGGGATTTCAATATATGTACCATTGTAGCCCAAATAAAATTACCTACAATGTACAAAGTTCTTTGGCAATGTCACTGAGTTCCCCATTTCAAATTGAAAACATATTTCATGTGGTACAAATGCTGATCAAAATAAGATTCTGTTTTGCCAGAGCAGTCTTCTCACTCAAACCATCCTTCCCCTACTCTATTTGCACAGTTCTGGGCCAGAATGTTGCATTTGTTGATCCTTGATTTTTAAGTAAAAAATTAAAACACTCTAAGAAAATGCCCTTTTAGAGAATGGTATGACTGAGACAAAGAGCAGCATAACCTATGCCAAAAATGTGTAAATTCTTTTATAGCTATGAGTCTGAGAAAACAGAAAGATACCATATAATGAATCTGGAGTAATGCTACGCAGAATGTCAGATGACTCTTTATGGAAAACTGATGAATTTGAGAAATGACTTTGGATAAAAAAAGTGAAAAGAGAATTGTCCTGTTTTCCTTTGGCAGAATCATCATCAAGAAACTTCGATTGACATCATATACTATTTAACAGAAAATTATGTCTTAAAAATATGTTATCTAATCCAGGCAAAAAGCCTACTGTAGCACATGATGCAAAGACTGATACATAGATCATGGGAGTGAACCTAAAAAATATTTTTTTCTCTTTTAAGCTTTATCGACAGCAAGCATTAGATAGTGTTCTAAGAAAGAAGATGGTTTTGCTTTTCATTATTATAGGACAGAATAGGTTGGTATATTGTTATTTGAAATTATCTTATGCAGCTTCAGATCAAGGACAGAATAAGCCCAAGAAATGCTCAATAGATTTTAAAGCACAATTATTTATGATTCATAGTTTTCTATTCTAATTAGAGTACAATTCCTGGCTACTAAACATTTAATAGTCACTTTTAAACAGATACTTGTGGAACATTACATGATAAAAAAAAAAAACCTTATGAGTTAGCCTGTAAGTCTTGGTATTGCATCCACTTTTTAAATTTGCTCAACACCGGAGCTTTGTGCCAAGCACCACAGAGATTTAGATAAGTGAGAGATGACTCTTGCCTTCAAGAAGTTTGCAGTTTTTGGTGACTAGACTTTCCTTTTTCCAAAGTACTTTAAGATTTGCATAGCTCTGTCTTCAAAGAATTATTTAAATTTGTCTGAGGTATTCATATGAATGTGTGCTCCACATGCAGTCTTCTGAACAATCAATCACTTCCCAAGCTTTCGTAATCTACTAAATTTTCAAAAGAAACAAAATAATAGGTTTAGTGTGATTTAAAGAACATTTTGGGCATTTTACTAATATTTTTCAGCA